AGGGTTGCCAGCCCCCTGGTCCTGGAAGTGACGTTATCATGTCGGGGACACTGCATGTGATGCTCTGGTTTGAGGGCAAAACTCTATGATAACTGGCCTAAAACCAGAGTGTCGCCAGGCAACGTTGTCAACACGATGAGGTCACTTCTGGGTGAGATCATCATCATCATCATCATCATCATCATCATCATCATCATCATCATTTTTCATTAAGTTATTGATCGCTCAATCCTTGCAGAGCTGCTGGCTCTGAGCGATTTACAGTTACTCATTTCACAAGGGACTACCAATGCTTTATAGGGGTAAGGGAGGACAACACATATAATCTTTACATAGCACATGTTTTGCAGCCAACGGGGATTTGTTCAGTTGCAACTCATACGTGATCCGGACGGCATTCTTCCCACTCGGCTTGGCTTGGCTGGGTGACGTCAGCGCTTCCTCTCCAGGACTTCGGGTCGCAGCTCCATACTGCCACCGCCTGGCTGGAATGGTCCATTACAGGCTTCTTGATGCCGAAGAGATCTTCTAGGCTTTTCGATCTTGCGAGCCGAACCTTCCATTCGCCGGCTAACACCTCCCCCCACCGGGGGGGGGTGTTCGGTGTGCCCACCCTCTCTAAGGAGTGGTACCTATTTTATCTACTCGTTGAAGCTTTTGAACCGCTGGGTGGACGGCGAGCTGGGGACAAGGCTGGTAGCTCACACCAGCGCGAGGCTAGCACTGACAGCAGCACTGTTCAGCTCAGATGTTACTTGTAACCAGAGGATAAATCCCCTGTGCCACCGCAATAATGGATTGCAATCATTCAGAAAAGTATTCAAGATGGTCCTCATCCATGACACTTAGTAACTCTCAAGGACGGGCATGCTGACAGAGGTAGTAAAGGCTTTACCACCTCTGTCAGCATGCCCGTCCTTGAGACACAACGTTTACCTGGCCACGTTAGAAGTAGTACAGTACAAAACGGAAGCATACTCTGGGGAATTCCGTCAACGTCTTCTTACGATTCTTTAAAAAGGACTCTCTGAACAATATTTATCTACTTTAATATAGGGTGACAGTTGTATGGGTTAATATATTTACACCTTGCAGCGCTCTGTGTGGCAGCGTTTCTGTGTTTCTTGTAATTGTTTCTTGTAGCTGTGACCAGTGTTCCCTCTAAGCTGAGTTAGTGTGAGCGAGCTCACGGTTTTTTAGCCTCTGGCTCACACATTTTTGTCTTCGCGCAGGAAGGATGGCTCCAGAGAAAACTAATCTATGCAGCAGCCAAACGGCTCCTTCACAACTTTAAAGCCAGCAGCTCACAAAGTAGAATTTTTGCTCACAGGACTCCACAGCTTACAGGGAGCATTAGTTGTGACCTTCCCTTTTTGGTCATGCATGTACATTTAGCAGGCGTTCCAAGGTCTGGCACTGGTCGGCAAAGAAGAAGAAGAAGAGAAGAGATTGGATTTATACCCCGCCCTTCACTACCCAAAGGTGTCTCAGAGCGGCTTACAAACTCCTTTCCCTTCCCCTCCCCACAACAGACACCCTGTGAGGTAGGTGGGGCTGAGAGAGCTCTTGACAGAAACTGCTCTTTTTCAAGAACAGCTCTTATCAGAACTACGGCTTGCCCGAGGTCATCCAGCCAGGTGCAAGTGGAGGAGTGGGGAATCAAACCCGGTTCTCCCAGATTAGAGTCCGCGCACTTAACCACTACACCAAACTGGCTCTCTGTGATTTCAGTGATTCATCAAACACCCCTTGCGAGTCGCCGGCATACAGACTGAGCCCCGCAACATCGCACTCACCCGTACTGCGGCCCCGGGCGATGAAGGTAGAGGAGGAAGAACTTCTGCCAGATGAGGGGCAGGAGGGGATGGTCCTCCGGGGTGGCCAGGGCCTGCTGCGCCCAGCGATAGATCAGGAGCCGCTGCAGGGAAGGCACGATGGGTAGCTTCAGCTGGGCCTGCGCTTTCTGGAAACGGGAGATGAAATATACTGGGTTCAACATGCATTAGTAATCAGCTTGTGTTCTATTGTGATTACAGCTCGGAACTAAGGACAACTCTAGCAGCACCGGGGCCCTGCTTATAGGCCTGTAAAACAGCACACCCATCACACACCCACTCCCAACAATAGGCAATTTACAGAGGCACTCCTGGGTGATAGGTCCATCCCAGGATCCTATCACTCCATTGTTCTCATAGAAGCATAGAATGTTAGAGTTGAAAGGGACCTTGCAGGTCATCTAGTCCAACCCCCTGCACTCTGCAGGAGCATAGCCGAAAGGTAGCCCTACAACATACCCGAAAGAGGGTCATCCAGCCTCTGCTTGAAAAGATCCAGTGAAGGAACATCCACCACGTCCCGAGGCAGACTGTTCCACTGCTCAACCACTCTTCCAGTTAGGAAGTTTCTCCTGATATTTAGCCGTTATTGACTCCCTTGTCATTTCCACCCATTAGACCTAGTCTTGCAATACAGAGCAAGAGAGAATAGATCCGCTCCATCTTCGACATGACAGCCCTTCAGATACTTGAAGACTGCAATCATGTCCCCTCTAAGCCTTCTCTTTCTGAGGCTAAACAGACCCAACTCAGCCTTTCCTCGTAAGACTTGGATTCCAACCCTCTCACCATCCTGGTTGCCCTCTTCTGGATATGCTCGAGCTTGTCAACATCCTTCCTAAAATATGGTGCCCAAAACTGGACACAGGACTCCAGGTGAGGCCTGACCAGGTGTGTCCCCAAGCTGTGGCTGACGAGATGAGGCTCAGCACACAATGGGAGACCAAGTTTCTTACCAGCGGGGAGCTTCCTTTGCTCCCGTGATCGCTCCCCTTTCGGTTTTATTTTTTTAAACCGTGTGCCGCGCAATGTTCCCTCTAAGCTGTGAAGTCTTGTGAGCAAAAATTCTACTTTGTGAGCTGCTGGCATTAAAGTTGTGAGCGAGCGATTTGGCTACCACATAGATTAGTTTTCTCTGGAGCCATCCTTCCCGAGCCAAGACAAAAATGGGTGAGCCGGAGGCTAAAAAACTGTGAGCTAGCTCACACTAACTCAGCTTAGAGGGAACACTGGTGCCAGGATATCTTCCAGGTTTATTCGCATATTCAAAATGCCCCTGTTTTAAGAAGCTTAAATTCTTCTGTGTCTTTTCCATTTCAAGCTTATCTAATTGATTCCTTAATTGCTGGCTTCCAATTAAAACGGCTTTTACTTAGCGGTTTTTATGCTGTTCTTCCAGGATTTGAATCCTATCCATTGTTTTCTTAGTTTGCTCATTTCTTTTACACTATAGCTAGTAGATTTCCTCTCATATAAGCTTTACTGGAAAAGAAGAGGAGGAGGAGGAGATTGGATTTATACCCCGCCCTTCACTACCCAAAGGAGTCTCAGAGCGGCTCACAAACTCCTTTCCCTTTCCCTCCCCACAACAGACACCCTGTGAGGTAAAAGAAGAAGAAGAGATTGGATTTATACGGCAGTCAATGCACCCAGAAAGGAGGAGGAGGAGATTGGATATATATCCGGCCCTTCACTACCCAAAGGTGTCTCAGAGCGGCTAACAAACTCCTTTCCCTTCCCCTCCCCACAACAGACACCCTGTGAGGTAAAAGAAGAAGAAGAGACTGGATTTATACCCCGCCCTTCACTACCCAAAGGAGTCTCAGAGCGGCTTACAAACTCCTTTCCCTTCCCCTCCCCACAACAGACACCCTGTGAGGTAAAAGAAGAAGAGATTGGATTTATGCCCCGCCCTTCACTACCCAAAGGAGTCTCAGAGCAGCTTACAAACTCCTTTCCCTTCCCTTCCCCACAACAGACACCCTGTGAGGTAGGGGGGGCTGAGAGAGCTCTGAGAGAAACTGCTCTTTTTCAAGGACAGCTCTGACAGAACTATGGCTTGCCCAAGGTCATCCAGCAGCTGCAAGTGGAGGAGTGGGGAATCAAACCCAGTTCTCCCAGATTAGAGTCCGCGCACTTAACCACTACACCAAACTGACTCTCGGGCAGTAGGACAACAAGATTCCAGTCCAGTGACACCTTAGAGACCAACATGTTTTGGGGGGCATGCGATTTTAAAAGTCAAAGCTCCCTTCGTCAGATACAAGTAGGAATGGAGATCTCTGAGCCCTTATCTCCCAGTCTGAAGAGGGGAGGGGTGTTGCAAAGAAGGGAGTCGGGATGCAGAGGCAGGATGCAAAGCATAGAGCCCTGCTCTGATCAAGCTGATTGCCTTGTACCTCTGCGTGCTGACTACCTTTTTGGAAACAACCTTCCCACAACAGACTGGCTTTCTCGGTGGCAGCCCCAGCCTGTGGAAATGAGTTCCCAGAGGAGATCAGGGCCCTGTGGGACCAATCACAGTTCCGCAAGGCCTGTAAAACGGAGCTCTTCTGCCGGGCCTTTGGAGCCGCCGCCACTATTAACAACTAGGGTAAGAAGCCCGCTGCCCCAGAATGTGTATTAACAACCTGTACTAGCAGCCGGGAAAGACACCTGGAGACATCTACAGAAGATCTGCGAGCCGGCCATGGGAAGAGAGAGAGTCGATGGTAGCCATCATGATCTTCATTACTGGAAACTAGCCCTTATTAAGGAAACGTACTAGTTTTGATATTGTTTTAAATGTTTTATCGTATTATTAGATGTTTTTGCTGATTTTATGTAAAAGGTGTCCTGAGCCTGCCTAGGCTGGGAGAGAAGGGTATAAATCTGAACAAATAAATAAATACATAGAAGGGTGTTCAGAGATCTCCATTCCTACTTGTATCTGACGAAGGGAGCTGTGACTCTTGAAAGCTCCTACTGCCAAATCTCCTGGGTTTTTAAGGTACTGCTGGACGGGACTCAAATTTGTCAAGCCACCTTAACCGAGCTGCCTGGCAAAGTCTTTTCAGCTTTGCTTTTTTTCCCCCTTCCCTTCCAAGGAGGCATTCATCACAAAGGCACACTTATTTATTTATCATTTTATATATATATTCCGCCTTCCCCACACAGCAGGCTCAGGGCGGGTTCCATCAGACCAGGCAACGATGCAAATAACAGTTAAAACCAATTAAAATGCATCAAAATTAAAATACAGATTGCAAATTCCAGTATCCCGCAGCCTCAACAGATGAGGTCTACCACAAATTGGGGTTCCAATGATTATTCACAGGGGTCATTTCCTGCAGGAGCGCACAGGAGTGGAGCTCCGGCAGTAAAGAGCCTAGGGGGAGGGCACATACAACAAGCCCCGCCCCCTGCTCCCAGCAGCCCTCAGTCAGAGCAAGAAGCAGCCAGGTGAGTTGCAGAGCCCCCCCCCCGGCCCCCGGTCCAAAACAGTCCAGTGGCACCTTTAAGACCAAGTTTTATTCAGGTACAAGCTCTCCCTCCTCTGTGAGGACAGATCTGCACGTTTTCCCTACCCCCCAATAGCTAGCAATCCAAAACAGTCCAGTGGAGCCTGAGCGGTGGGTGTTGCCTTCTGACACACTCCCGGTGATGTCAGGGGGCATGGCATATGCAAATAAGTTATGCTAATGAGCTATGCTAATGAGCTCCTAAACCTCTTTTTCTACGAAATGACCCCTGATTATTCAGATCTGGGTCACTGGAGGGGAGGGCCCAATAAGGTGTGGTGTGGACACCTGCTGCCTTAGCTAAAAGCCTGGCGGAAGAGCTCCGTCTCACAGGACCTGCGGAACTGTAAAAGGTCCCGCAGGGCCCTGATCTCACATGGGAGCTCATTCCACCAGGTAGGGGCCAGGGCCGAGAGAGCCCTGGACTTCGTCGAGGCTAGTCGGACGTCCCTGGGGCCAGGGGCCACCAGGAGATGCTGGTTTGCACATCGTAGTGACCTAAGGGGCTCATCTGTCTTTGAATTACCTTCAGAGCCTGATCAGGAGTCAACGAGTTGATGACCAGCTCCTTCTCCACAACTCTACGAAGCTGGGAATCCTCTTCGAAGATGGACTCCATGTTCAGGACGGTCCACGCGAACCAAACCTGTTAAGCAAGAAGGAACAGCTGAACCCGGGTGGGAGGGGATAAAAGATCCAACCTTTTTCAAAAACTTGCAACTGTGACCCTTCAGATTCAATACACAGCAGTCCTGCTGGATCCTGCCCAATCAGGTGCTTCTCGCCCTTTCCGCTTCTGGATCAGACCAGTGGTCATTCTAGTCTAGCATCCTGTTTCATGCACCGGCTATGAGATGCCCTGAAGGGTCAAGAAACAAGGCACAGAGGCCGAGGCCTTTCCCCTGACGTTGCTGTCAGGCTCCTTAGTCAGGTCACACCACACAGGGCTTCATAAGAAGATGTTTATTGATGAATCCGGTACTAAAGAACACGTGTACAGCTTGTGTCAGGAATGGCCGTCAGTACTAGGGCCTCTGACTTATACTGAAATCAAACATCCCCCCCATATAGTAGGAGCCAATGGATACATCTTGCGTGCGCGGGCAAAGCAAGCAAGCAAAGTAAAAGCCGTTAACTTTCCCAGCCGAGTAAACTGCAGCTGTAGCATCTACAAGGTCAAGCATAAGATAGCAAACAGTCGGTGAGCCAGAGAGAGCTGTGAAGAAAGAGGAGTGCACCTCTCCATATTCCAGAGCTACCTGACAGTTGCCTCCTGGTTCTGGGATTCAAAGGTCTACTGCCTCTGAATCTGAAGGTCCTTATAGACATCGTGGCTAGTCACTACTGATGTACCTCTAACCCCATGGACATGGCCGGTTCTCTTTGGAATCCAGAACCGAAAATGATAAGTCAAGTAGAATAGAGGACCAACAATAAAAGCTTAATATGTATAGTACATAAAAAGATACATGTATTTGTTAATAAATACATGTATCTTTTTATATAATCCCCGACCCTACGAATCAACGACCTCCAAAATGTCCTCTCGTTAACACCCTAACGTAGAGCCTGGGGTTCCGGTCTTGCAAACCGAGGGCCGCAGTTTCCTTGACGGAGTCAATCCATCTCCTGTTGGGTCTTCTTTCCCTGCTCCCTTCGACTTGTCCTAGCACTGTTGTCTTTCCCGGTCACTCTCATCTTCTCACGATGTGACCGACGCTCCCTCTAAGCTGTGGAGTCTTGTGAGCAAAAATTCTACCTTGTGAGCGACTGGCATTAAAGTTGTGAGCGAGCCTCTGGCTACTGTGTAAATTAGTTTGCCCTGGAGCCGTCCCCTTCCTGAGCGAAGAAAAAAATGTGTGAGCTAGAGGCTAAAGAACTGCGAGCTCACTCGCACTAACTCAGCTTAGAGGGAACACTGGATGCGACCCAAGTGAGATAGACTCAGTTTCGTCGTTTTAGCTTCTAGGCAGAGCTCAGACTTGATTTGATATAGAACCCACTTATTTGGCTTTCTGGCGGTCCACAGTATCCGTAAAACTCTCCTCCAATGCCACATTTCGAATGAATCAACTTTCCTTCTGTCAGCTTTCCTCATTGTCCAGCTTTCACACCCACACATAGTAACTGGGAATACCATGGTATGAATTATCTTAGTCTTGGTCACCAGCGACACATCCTTACACTTAAGAATCTTTCCTGGCTCCTTCGGATGGCACGGCTGCTACCCGCAGAAAAAATGGGATGCAAGAAATGCAAGAAATGGCGATGTGGACATTTTCAGGGGGTGCTTTACATATGAAGTTAATTTTTAGCCCAACCAAAAACTTCCTCAGAAGCCAACAGAGAACACCAAATACTTGAAATTTTGCTGTTTATGACTCCCGTTGCAAAAACGGTAAAGACAACAGGCTAGAATACCTGAAATCAATTACATTCGAATAAATAAAAACTACAACAAAACATCCTTTTGCAGAACAGTGAACTGGGCTAGATAGCGCATGGCTTTTCCTCCAGATTGTTTCTGAGAGCTAAATTCATCAAACCGTCTCTCCCGAGGTGACTTTCTTTTTCTTTTCTTTTTTTTACATCTTCTGATCATTTCAATTCAACAAGGGGCATTAAAAAAAACAAGGAAAGGCGGGTCACAAGCAAACAGCAAGACCACTCTAGCGCATCAACTCTATGGCACCACCCTACCTGCGTGGAGTTGGCATTTCCCTCGATGAAAGAAGGTGTAACGTTTCCCGCCACGATCCAACTGACTAGGGAAGACAGCAGCCCCTTGTCACAGTGGTAGCCCAAGGCATTCTGGGAGGTTTAGATAAGAGAGAGAAAGAGGGCAGGTGAGAAAACAATGGCGCCATTATGGATCACTGATGAAGGATACAGTCTATTGGCTGAAAGTTATTCAGAGAGGTTTTTTCCCACACAGTCCAAAGCCAGAAGTGCAAATTCATAAGAACATAAGAGATGCCAATGTGGGATCAGACCAAAGGCCCATCCAGTCCAATACTCTGTGTCACACAGTGGCCGTATAGTATATAAAAATATATGTGTATTTGTTAATAAATACATGTATCTTTTTATATAATATACATATTAAGCTTTTATTGTTGGCCCTCTATTCTACTTGACTTACCTTTTTAGGTTCTGTATCCCAGGTTTCCGGGTTAAGTTCCCCCCCCCCTTTTTGTCCCTAGTCGGTTCTCTTTGGAAGCCATCTATGCCATCGTCATATAACTACTCAACACAAGCGTCTCTTGATGCTGGAACCCCAAGCTCAATGGTACTGTCATGACCTTGGCTGTGCCACCAGAGGCCTACTAGGCCCAGGGAGCCTGGCTAGCAGTAGGTGAGGCTAGGCCTACAACTCCCAGAAGCCCTTGAGAGGTCTTGGAGCCAAAACTGACCAATAGGAAAAGAGGAGGGCTTGGAATAAGAGATCGGGAGCAGCAGGAAAAGCTGCTCTTCCCAGAGGGCAGAGCCAGAAGGAAGGCTGCTGCAGGGAAGAAACCCTCATCCTGAGAGAAGGGTGAGTAGTCTAGTGTCACTTGGAATAGTGAGCTACAGACAGTATATATTTAGACGCGTTAGGGCATTTGATTTCTTTTCTTTTCACCCACTTACTGTTATATTTCTGCACCTTGTTGTTTGACCGCCTATAAACTAAACTATTTTCATTGTTCACTCTGCCTGGTCCTCATGCCTGTTATTCGGCCAAAAGGGAGTTCAGAAGGTCTTGGGAGGGTGCTCTGGGCCTTCTCAAGGGAACCTAAATCCAGAGGGGTGGCAGCGTCAGGTGACACCCCACCTGAGCCGTGACAGGTACACTTAACCAGACAGAGTCTGGTTATGTCAACCTCACCAAAGGGACTAGACTCATTCTAACTGTGCTGTAAATCGATAGTGCTCTCTGTGTGTGTCAAGTGCCATCAAATCACATCCGACTTATGGCGACCCTACGAATCGACGACCTCCACAATGTCCTCTCGTTAACAGCCTAACGTAGAGCCCAGGGTTCCGGTCTTGCAAACCGAGGGCCGCAGTTTCCTTGACGGAGTCAATCCATCTCCTGTTGTGTCTTCCCCTTTCCCTGCTCCCTTTGACTTGTCCTAGCATTGTTGTCTTTCCAAGTCACTCTCATCTTCTCACAATGTGACCGACGCTCCCTCTAAGCTGTGGAGTCTTATGAGCAAAAATTCTACTTTGTGAGCGACTGCCATTAAAACGATTGCAATAAAAATGCGGGGGGAGCCTCTGGCTACTGTGTAAATTAGTTTGCCCTGGAGCCGTCCCCTTCCTGAGCGAAGACAAAAATGTGTGAGCTGGAGGCTAAAGAACTGCGAGCTCACTCACACTAACTCAGCTTAGAGGGAACACTGGATGTGACCCAAGTGAGATAGAATCAGTTTCGTCATTTTAGCTTCTAGGCAAAGCTCAGACTTGATTTGATCTAGAACCCACTTATTTGGCTTTCTGGCGGTCCACGGTATCCGTAAAGCTCTCCTCCAATGCCACATTTCGAATGAATCAACTTTCCCTTTGTCAGCTTTCCTCATTGTCCAGCTTTCACACCCACACGTAGTAACTGGGAATACCATGGTATGAATTATCTTAGTCTTGGTCACCAGCGACACACCCACACGTAGTAACTGGGAATACCATGGTATGAATTATCTTAGTCTTGGTCACCAGCGACACATCCTTACACTTAAGAATCTTTCCTGGCTCCTTCGGATGGCACAGCTGCTAACTGCAGAAAAAATGGGATGCGAGAAATGGCGACGTGGACATTTTCAGGGGGTGCTTTACATATGAAGTTAATTTTTAGCCCAACCAAAAACTTCCTCAGAAGCCAACAGAGAACACCAAATACTTGAAATTTTGCTGTTTATGACTCCCGTTGCAAAAACGGTAAAGACAACAGGCTAGAATACCTGAAATAAATTACATTCGAATAAATAAAAACTACAACAAAACATCCTTTTGCAGAACAGTGAACTGGGCTAGATAGCGCGTGGCTTTTCCTCCAGATTGTTTCTGAGAGCTAAATTCGTCAAACCGTCTCTCCCGAGGTGACTTTCTTTTTCTTTTCTTTTTTTAAACATCTTCTGATCATTTCCATTCAACAAGGGGCGTTAAAAAAAACAAACAAGGAAAGGCGGGTCGCAAGCAACCACAAAGACCACTCTAGCGCATCAACTCTATGGCACCACCCTACCTGCGTGGAGTTGGCATTTCCCTCGATGAAAGAAGGTGTAACGTTCCCCGCCACGATCCAACTGACTAAGGAAGACAGCAGCCCCTTGTCACAGTGGTAGCCCAAGGCATTCTGGGAGGTTTAGATAAGAGAGAGAAAGAGGGCAGGTGAGAAAACAATGGCGCCATTATGGATCACTGATGAAGGATACAGTCTATTGGCTGAAAGTTATTCAGAGAGGTTTTTTCCCACACAGTCCAAAGCCAGAACTGCAAATTCCATGCATGAATGTCAAAGGATACTTTCTGAAGCAATGCAGAGAGCATTTTTAAGTCCTTGAGTGGAGAGGAGAGGGGGAAAGAGCTATTTTAAACCATGAATATAGATGACATGCTATGGACACAGCCTTTGTGAATTATTGTTTCCTAGAAACACAGCCAGATAACATTTCTGAAAGGGAAGACAAGAATCTGGGCTCCCCGTTTTACTGTGAACACACCTGAAGCTGCCTTATACAGAAATCAGACTGCCAGTCCATCAAGGTCAGCATTGTCTTCTCAGAGGGTCTTTCACGTCACCCACCGCCAAGTTCTTTTTAAATAGAGATGCTGCGGATTGACTCTGTACCTCCTGCTTGTAAAGCAGAAGCTCTTCTACCGAGCCGCAACCCCTCCCCAAGTGCGGATCCCTCCAAAATGAATTAAAAGAGAAAACCCACCAATATCTAAATGTGCCTAACACAGGTGACCAAGGCTCCCTCTAAACTGTGGAGTCTTGTGAGCAAAAATTCTACTTTGTGAGCTAGGGGCATTCAAGCTGTGAGTGAGCAATCTGACTTCTGCATAAATTAATTTGATCTGGAGCCCTCCTTCCTGAGCTGAGACAAAAATCTGTGAGCTAGAGGCTAAAAACTGTGAGCTAGCTCATGCTAACTCAGCTTAGAGGGAACACTGCAGGTGACTGCATTATCACCACGTAAAAGGTAAAGGTTCCCTTGCTCGAAAGCCAGTCGAATCTGACTCTAGGGTTGCGGTGCCCATCTCCGTTTCAAAGCCAAAGAGCCGGCGCTGTCCGAAGACGTTTCCATGGTCATGTGGCCGGCATGACAAAACACCGAGGCGCACGGACCGCTGTTACCTTCCCACCAAAGTGGTCCCTATTTATCTACTTGCAATTTCTTGCTTTCGAACGGCTAGGTTGGCAGGAGCTGGAACGAGAGATGGGAGCTCACTCCGTCATGCGGCACCCGGGTCTCGAACTGCTGAACTACCGACCTTCCACAGCCTGCAGTTCAGCGTCTTAACCCCTTGAGCCACCGCAGCTCAATTCCAAAACCTACTGACCCAGCATGTTATCTAATAGACGTTTTGAGCCCGTGGGCCCCTTTGGAATGCTGACACAGGGTGCTGGGCACAGATACAGAATGGCTGCAGCTGGGGGTGAAGCAATAGTTATTTTAACCTGCACAGCCAATCCAGTCTCCAGTGGCCTATCGAAGCAGGGTTGCCAAGTCCCTTTTGAGATGCCAGCGGGGGATGTGGTGGGCGCTCTGGAAGCCGGGAGCGTCGCCCCTGACATGCTGATGTCACTGGAAGTGATGTCACGCACCGCGCCTACGTCACTACCAGTGTTCCCTCTAAGCTGGGTTAGTGTGAGCCAGCTCACAGTTTTTTAGCCTCCGGCTCACACGTTTCTGTCTTCCCTCAGGAAAGACGGCTCCAGAGCAGACTCATTTATGCAGCAGCCAAACCGCTCGCTCACGACTTTAATGCAGGCAGCTCACAAAGTGGGATTTTTGCTCACAAGACTCCACAGCTTAGAGGGAACACTACCGGGTGAGGCAGGCACGTCTGGTTTGGGGGCACTCCACAGCTTAGAGGGAACACCAGCGGGTGAGGCACGTCGGAGGCAACGCTCTGGTTTGGGGGCAAAACTCTATGATAAAATTGGCCTCAAACCCCAGAGTTTTGCCCAAAAACCGGAGTGTCACAACACTCCACGTCACCAACGTGCATACATCGCTTCCAGGTGACGTAGACATGTCACTCCACATGCTGTTGGGGGGGGTGTTTCCTTCTGCCAGCCAGCTCCGGCCAGGAGCCCACAAAAGTGAGGGATCCCCCACTCCAAAATGGGGACTGGCAACCCTAATCTAGTTTGGTCTAGCGGTTAAGTGCGCAGACTCTAATCTGGGAGAACTGGGTTTGATTCCCCACTCCTCCATTTGCACCTGGCTGTAAGCCGCTCTGAGACACCTTTGGGTAGTGAAGGGCGGGGTATAAATCTAATCTCTTCCTCTTCTTCTTTTACCTCACAGGGTGTCTGTTGTGGGGAGTGGAAGGGAAAGGAGTTTGTAAGCCACTCTGAGACTCCTTTGGGTAGGTAAGGGCGGGGTATGAATCCAATCTCCCTCTTCTTCTTCTTTTACCTCACAGGGTGTCTGTTGTGGGGAGGGCAAGGGAAAGGAGTTTGTAAGCCGCTCTGAGACTCCCTTGGGTAGTGAAGGGTGGGGTATAAATCCAATCCTTCTTCTTCTTTTACCTCACAGGGTGCCTGTTGTGGGGAGGGGAAGGGAAAGGAGTTTGTCAGGCGCTCTGAGACTCCTTTGGGTAGTGAAGGGCGGGGTATAAATCCAATCTCCTCTTCTTATTCTAATCAGAAGCCCATCTGGGCAAGAGCCCTAGGTGGCCCCATCCACTTTTAAAAACACCAAGAAAGGCATCAGGGGGCACCACGTTGGGGACCCCCGATCCAACACCTGCCCGTGAGAAAGGGTGGAGCCCCCACACCTTGTGCTGCTGATACAGCAGCTTCTGGACACAGTCCTCTTGGTTGAACTGAAAGGCTGCCTGGCACAGATGATCCATCAGGCACAGCGTGGCTCTCTCCTTGTGCCAGGCCGGTTGGCTGGTGAGGGCCTGGACCCAGAACTCGAGCACCGCGGCCGGCCCCACGCCATTGGGAAGGCTGCTCACGAAGACGTGATTCTGTCAAGGCAAACAGTGGAATAATTCATCAGCGGAATAAGAATGTGAGAAGAGCAATGCCGGGGGGAAGGTCGAGAGTCAAATTTCTCCCAGCATCCTGTCTCCAAGAAATGCTACGGGCAGGGACGCGGGTGGGCATCGAAAGGAGAAGTGGGCACTCAATGAGGTTCATGAGCAGTTGGCTTGGAACAGATAAAGGGAAGTACTTCTTCACCTAAAGAGTCATTCACACGTGGAATTCAGTGCCGGAGGAAGTGGCGGTGGCGGCTACAAGCATAGACAGCTTCAAGGAGGGACTGGATAGGATAAAGCTATCAGAGGAGTTACAAAGAGATATAATGCTGTTAGAGGAGTTACAAAGACATTTAAATTAATAATCAAATCATATAATCATAGTCTCGCAGTTATACTCATTAATCTTTTCTTGTTACATATCTACTCATTATTATATGATAGTATAAGCATTGTATAAATGGGGGGGGTTATTCTTTTCTTTTGTTATGTTTCTTATGTTGAAGTATTAATTATCTTACTGTATTTTGACTAGTTATGATACTTTTTCATGTTTCATA